GTACAGAGACAGACAACCACCAGCCTGTGTAAGGGCTATTTGAGCAAGAAGGAGAGTGATGGATGCCTGGCCTCCACATTCACCTGATCTAAACCAAATTGAAATGGTTTGGAGTGACATGCACAGCAGAGTGAAGGCAAAACCGCCTACAAGTGCTCAGCAACTCTGGGAACTGCTTCAAGACTGTTGGAAAACCATTTTCTGTTTTATTAGATACCTCATGAAGCTTATTGGGAGAATGCCAGGAGTGTGCAAAGCAGTAATCAAAGCAAAGGGTGGCTATTTTGAAGAATAAAACATGTTTTGAGTAATTTCACACTTTTTTGTTTACTAGATAATTCCATATGTGTTCATTCATAGTTTTGTTAAAAACCTAATAATAGTTAAAAACCTGCTAACACTAGCGTGCTTTTGTGCTCACATTGGCTCAGCTTGTATTCAGTTTCAGTGTAAACAGCTAAGGCTGATGGTATTCTAAGTATTTTGGTAGGTAATTGTACCAGTTAATAATTTGCATAAGGATGTATCTGCATATTTCATCATCCCTTCTTTTTCATTTTAGCATTTTTAGATGTACACATGTATATGTATACATATAACCACTAGCACTGCTGTTATATTTATTATGGATGTTGCTGCTATTTTGTTTTCCACACGGTCATCCAAATGTTAAAACCCTGGTCTCTGGCTCTATCTTCTCTCCCACTGTGACAGCACGTGTCCTGTTTAGCAAACATTATCTCATACCTGCATTTGTATTTACGCTGTGCTTCTTTCTTCACTTGTAATTAGGCTGCTACAGGATAAGACTGGCTTTGCTTGGGGCCATGAATCAGATTCAGGAAGGTGTGGAACAGGTTTAAAGAGAGATAACTATGTCAACTCGTGTTCAGACCTGACACAGCTGCATTCCCTCAACAGCACAAAGGTAGGAAGAGAATCTTTTGTGGTTTAGAGATTCAAGAACAAAAAAGATCAAAGATTATATATTATATATATTTTAGCTTTGAATGGTTTTAAATTTAAGTACAATTAAGTAATTGAAAAGTGTGTTTCCTGAGGAGCTTTTTATGTATGTTTGTAAAACATTAAGTTTGTCTTAAGTGAAAATGATTTGCTATACTGTGATCAACTTTAGTCCTTCAGATACGGTGACTGCAAATGTTCTTGATAATAAGGACTATTTTGAAGTTAAAAACTGCCTTCTTCAATCTCTTCTCTTATGGACTGACCAGCCTGTCAACATTTTCTTCCTGTTTTGACTACACAGCTCTCTGTCTCTTTGAAAACCCATTGTATAATGCTGACATCAAGTCACTCTGCTGTCAGAATATTTGAAATGATAAGCTTGGTTGTAGATCAGGGTCCTGGTGTCTTTATTTATACAACAGCTTCAGTTACAGCTGAGTTACTGAGAACAGCCTGCCTGAACTTTACTATTCAGGTGCTCACTGCCCAAACTGTATTTCTAATTAAAGAAATTAATTATTATTTGAGGGAAACAAAATGGTAGTTCAGTGAGATTATCAGTCTGTGGAACATTTTCATTCTTCTTAAGAATTTTCCAGTAAGGAATCTACGGTATTACTCAAGAGTGGTAACGCCCTTCCAGGGAATATTTTTTTTAACTGATGTTTATGTTGCTCTGACAGTCTGCTGACACCAATGAATGTTAGGTTGAAAGGTGAGTGAGAGCAGGTTTTCAGTCTCAGTTTGTTTGTGATTAAGTTCGAAATCTCAGTGAGATGAAAAAGGTAAACACATTTTATTTACTGTAAGTTAAAATGGCAATACCCTAAACATAAATATAGTCAGTGCTGTTTAAATGACCTAATAATATTTTCTACCTAACTATATATCTCCAGATAGTTACTGCTATGTTAGCTACTAATATTTTATATTTAATCTTGATCATTAAGGATACTCACAATGTGGTTTAAGAAGCATAATGTTAAACCCTGAATTCGGGAAGATAAATCCAAGTGAAACGAAAGTAACTTTAAACGGTCATATTTTATATTTTATAGTCATATTTTATAGCCCTTAAAATAACCTTGCTGTCCTGAATTGCTTTGCTGAATTGTTGTTTTGTCAATGTCTAAAGTGGAAAGTACCAAAAGTCACAGCAGCTAGTACCAGAAACAGAACAGAGTGATTTCAAGATCATCAAAAGCACTGAAAGTACAGGGTATTACTCACAATCGTTCTCCACCAAACATAAATATTTACTGGCTTGTATTACAATTACTCACGCTTATATCATAACTAAACATTGTAGTTGTCACCAAACCTAAATATACTACAGAAACTCTATTTCTATTATGTCCTTGTTATCAATTCTATCGTTGTTTGTTTTGTGAGTAAAATGACCCTCCCCTCACTCTAAGGCTCTCACAGCGTCTCCTAGATGGCGTACTCCACCAGCACCCTTGCAGAGGGCTGTTTTGGGAAAGTGTACAAGGAGAAGTACAATGATACCTGGGCTGCTATTAAGAAAGTTCCTCAGCATCTCATCAGCTGGAAGGATCTGGAGAGAGAGAGTGAAGTGTACAAGTAAGCATATTAAGCATGGTTAATATTTTCAAAGACAAAAACAGCAATATGACATTATTACAAAACACAGTTGTGTAAAATATATGGCAGACGGTGTAATTGCTGACAGACATTTAATAATTTTTTGCTTGCTTTTAACTAAATGTAACTGTTTATGCTCATATGCTTTTTATTGCTCAATAGAGAAAACTATCATTCTGCATGTTTTTATAGGCAAAAAGCATGTTCTTTATGCATTAACAGTCACATCACTGATAATTGATTAAAAACTGGTTACATGGGTCCCCAGTAAGTATTTATTTCATACCTTCTATTTACTACATATTAGCATTGTCATTTCTGGGCTATAACAAAACAGCATCATGGTGTAAACCATAATATTAAAAAATGTGAATTGCACAAACACCTACTGGCCAAGACTTGTCGGCCTTCTACTCTCAGAACTGCCTTAAACTCTCTCCACAAAGTGCTTGAAACATTGCTCAGAGATTTTTGTTGATATTGGCATCATAGCTTGTGCTGCAGATCTGTACTTCCATGATCAAAATCTCCTTTTGCACCACAACCTTGAGGTGCTTTGAGAAAAAAAACTGAGTTCTGGTCACTCTTTAGATCATCATAAGGGTATCTAACTATCTACCTACCTACATTGTTATGTCTTCTCTCAGGCAGTATTATGAGGTTTCTTCTTGTTAAAAGGTTTTCCCTTCCCACTCTTGCCAGGTACTTATTCAAAGCAAGCTCATTATTTGAATTTCTGTTGCCTACCTGCCAGCGTGAACCAGTCTAACCATTTTCCTTAGGCCTCTGATATCAACAAGGCCTTGTTGACAGAAGGGGTAGATCAGCAGTTTCTGAAACACTGCCATCAACCAACCACACCATTTTCAAATGTACTTTAATCAACTTTCTTCTCTATTCGGATGCTCTGTTTTATCTTTGTCAGGTGGTCCTGACTATGTGTTAATTAACTGCTAAAAAATTAAAGTAATACTATTTAATAAGAGTACAGCATAAAGTCAATTAAACGTCTGGGGTATTGATATGGCCAGTTAAGTAGCAGAAGTTGTTGTTAATCAGTTTCAGCTGCTGTAGTATTAATGACATTAACAACAGCTTTACTAGAGGAGCAACAATTAGATAACACCCAAATCAGGAGTGGTTTTACAGGCGGAGGACACTGACATCTTTTTCCTCTTTAGCTTTTCTGACCAATTTTTCTTTCACAAGTTTTGCATTTAGCTAGGGTCAGTGTCACTACTGGTAGCATGAGGCGATACCTCGACCCTACAGAGGTTGAACAGATTGGCACATCAATACCTAGAAGAGCTGGACACGGCCGTAGAAAGTCCTTAACCCATCGCCAGGACCGGCATCTGCTCTTTCTTGTGCTAGGAGAAACAGGACGAGCACTGCCAGAGTCCTACAAAATGATCTCCAGCAGGCCACTGATGTGAATGTCTCTGATTAATCAATCTGATCAATACAACCAGAAACAGACTTCATGAGAGTCATCTAGTGGCCTCTGAATCAAAACCTGAATGTTTGCACAGAATTCCATCACCTGATGCTAGATGATCCAGGTGGTTTTGAATGTTTTAGAAAAAGAAAACGCCCAGTTTATTTTGTTTTGATTTTGTCAAAATCTTCTTTTCTCCATGACTTGTTACCACTGATCTGCAGCAAGTCAAAACATCCCAACATAGTGAGGCTTCTGGGCAAAATAACTCTTAAAGATGGAAAATGGATCATTCCACTAGAGTTTGTCTTCGGAGAGGACTTGGAGACCACCATCTTCAAGGCGTCAAAGTCTAAAATATCGGTGAGGTTACTAG